CACAACCCTTCATTCATTATCTGAGGTAAATAACTGTCTCACACTCTATACGGATTGGATCGCCTCAAGAATTCAACTTTGAACACACTACAATCTCCACAATTTATTATTTTATTATTATTTTAACACATAGATATCACTACAAGGAGGCACCAAATACATATGCGCCACATAAATCTCATTTGATATGTGTGAGGGCTGTGATACTGACCGGGTGCCCAAACTGAAGTAGGTGGATTTATTACGGGGCCACGCCGGAGCTTTCGACCTTAAGATCTGATCCACAAGGCAGTGGAGCAACGTAAGGAGATGCAGTCCCATTGAAGCCGGTGACCAACGACTGGTTCGTACGCCATTTGTTCCCGCAGGATACTGGAGCCCATGTGCACCATTGGTCTGGAATGAGGGTTTTCCAACTCCCGTAGGTAGACTCTCTATGCCCCATCGACCCGATTAATCAGCCAGACATTCTCTTTTCGTCCTCTCAATTTCGTAACAACACCCTCGCCACGAGAAGACAGTGAGTAGAACTTCCCTGGCAGGGGCTATATACGCGTGGCCATGTGAGAGCATTTCGAGAGGGAGAGCGGGCTCTACTCACTCTCGGCCGTACCAGGGCATTTGGGGGCACAATCTCCACAAATTTATGATTGATTAATCACTGAACAATCTTGACTGAATCCTATCGATCATGTTATAATATGGCCACTAGGTTAGATGACTTTATATCGTGGATACTAAGCTTTGGTATTAAATGGTTAGAGGTACTCGACAGGAAATCATGAGTGATCAAGATGTTATGTTTATAGCAACCGTCCTACAATTAAGCTTACTTATAGTTAATTTTGTCAAGACCTTCAATCAACTTATTTAACAGACAGTGTTATTCGAACAGTAACAATTTTTCTATATCTTTGTATTGTTATGATCACCACCACGTTTGTGTAAACGTGTATGCTTGAATCTTATCAATTTTCTCGCCGCGTTTTGCCTTACTTCGCTTCACCTCGATTCGATTTGACTATAAATTTGTCTCTGTATTCGCTCGCATACATATATTAGCCTCTCTGTTCCAATTTGCTCGAGGTGCTTATAAGTTGTTTATTTGTGCTACCCAATATTAAACTAAGATCTCTACTTCTTATTGCTTTCTGAATTCATGCACAGTTAGGATTTACTTAATAATGGTTATCAAGGTGATTGATAAATGAAGAAATTATCTCGAAGCCAAACCACCATATATTAATCGGTTCTCTTCAGGATTATGTACCAGAAATCTTGAAAGAATTAATTCTTCTTGGCTCCCAAATGCCCTGGTATGGCCGAGAGTGGGGAGAGTCAGCTCTTCCCCTCCAGATGCTCTCACGTAGCCACGTTTATACAACCACTGTCAGGGAAGACCTACTGATTTACGAAATTTAGAGCACGAAAAGCAAATATCCGGCGCTTTAAACTGGGTTGATGGATATAGACGATCCACCTAGGGGAGTTGGAAAACCCTCATTCTAAACCATTGGTGTACATGGGCTCCAGTATCCTGAAGGAATAAATGGAGTATGAAACAATTTTTGGTGACCGGCTACCATGAGACTGCATTCCCTGATGTTGCTCCACTGTCTTGTGGATCAGACATTTAAGTCGAAGGCTTCGGGTATGACCTCCTAAGAAAACCATCTGCTTCAGTTTGGACACAGCCCTCACACAAATCGAATGATTTATGTGGAGCATATGTATTTGGTGCCTCATAATACTAATGTTTATGTGTTTAAATAAATAAAGTAAATTCTTTCTATATGATCTTGTAGTGTCGGTTATTATGTTAAGCTCATATACCTTATTCTAGCTTTCGGACAGTCCATTCTATTCATTCTACTTGAATCACATTCTAACCTTGTTATTTATTCGCTTAACAATCTTGACTGTTTTTATATGAGCGTGTAGGTGTATGTACGTTTCTTATCCCATTACTCATCACATGTCTGTAACTTACTTTTGTGTAACTATAAATATTGATTAACGCTTGGTTAAATGAGAGTTGGCTTACCCACAATCTCCACTGCGAGTCGTTTTGCTTCGTTCTATCCCATTCGCTTTATATACAAAACATATGTATTCACAAGTCCATTCTCGTTATTCGACTTATTTAATTCCGTTATTGACTAACGCGATTTAAGTCGATGACTATATATGAGGATAGACGATAACAAACATTCATACAATCTAATTGGAGTCAGATCTCGGGTGACTAAAATCTTATTATTTATTCTATTAATTTCAATCCTTATAGATAAAAATGTTTTCACATTAGTCAAGATGTTAGTTTATTAAATGTAACATAGTTGCACTATATATAAATTTAACAATTTATATCATTATCCAAAATTACATGTAAAAGGTTCATATAAATCTATTTACTCTTTATTATACATGTATACATAGAATGGCTTCAGGGTATCTCAAGTATTCAGGTTTCAGTAATGAACTTTCACTATATCCAATAATAATAATAATAATAATACTTCATAGGATAACACCAATAAATAAATAAATCGATAAAGTACTTTAATCAATAATTTATATCTAATTCTTATATATATGTGTTACTAACCCGTTTTAATAACTTGGTTGTATTAAACTAACACTTGAATACCATCTAAAGTCATTTAATGACTTAAATTGAGTTACTATACATTATGAATAAATTAGAAATTTTATTGTTTTTTTCATTGTTTTAATAAATCAATAACACTTGAATGACCGCTTCATTTAAATGGTACATTATTGTATAGTGAATGACTAGAGTTCATTTCTTAACTTTAAAGAACAATAATGATAATCCTAACGCTATTCATTATTATAATCAGAAGGGGATGGTGGTAGCTTTGTGGAAATTTTAGTAATTTATTAATTGAATTCATAAGTTGAATAAAGCTAGATCACCATGGAAAACGTGGAAGCATTGGACCTTTGGGACTCCTCAGTAGTGCGCATCCACGATCCTAGGTCTGTGATGAGATAGTAACTCACCAAAGACAATGGTAGACAGTGGTGCGATTTCATGGATTGGTTAAAGTTAGACATCATTGAATGTCAACTCAGTGTGTTGTGACTTTATAACCCGCTAATTATCACGTAATCTATTCGCTAATCAAAATATGAATTATTCGCTCTTATACTGTACTAAACCAATCACGTTCGACCGGTTTGATCAGCCTAGCGTCCTATTGGTCCGTTGCTCGCCTAGCCCGTCCACTTGAGTTCAGAATGTCAACAACAGCCTCCACTATACGAATCGAATCGAATCATTTATTTCAGACATACTGGGTTTATATATCAACCAAACAGACTGCAACGCACCATAAAATAGGAAATAACATTCATATACAACGAAGCCAAAAAGTGGTTGTGAATGTGGGAGGCAGTAGTCAATTAACTGAACATAACTTAAGAACAGTAAATCGCACGACAATAATATATAGGTCAAAATGAAGCTTATAACAAGGGGAATATAGATATACATAATCTAGTTACTGAATATTTATACCATGAGAATATATAAATAATATTAGTCCATTAATAAGTCTCAGACGTTACTCGTAATGTAATCTTCACTAGGATACAACACAGTGGTCTACATTGTTAAGTGTTTACACGCGAGACCGATAGATTCTAGGTTCGAATCCCTCGAAGGGGGGATTGTGGATGCACACTACCACAGAGGAGTCCCATACTAGGACAAAACCGTCGTCTAGTGCTTTCAGGTTTTATAAATTTTATTTGATGAACGTAGCATATCATAGCAACAGTCGTTTAACAGTATAAGTTTCTTTTCAACATATAGTCAAATGATAACTATTCTATCAATATTCTTTCTATAGTTAAAATATTTCATTCATTTTAAATGGTGAAAATTAACTGTTACTTCAAATGTCACAATTATTTTCGTTTGTTTTAAGCACTAAAGATTAAATACCATGTGAGTACATATACATAGTTAGGAGCTAGGGGCGGCCAGACCAAAACATAGCACAAGTCCATGAAGTCACTGACAACTGGACTGAGCCATGTTGGTAGGTGTAGACTACCTGGTTGGGGAACTCGAGATGATAGCAACCGATGGTTAGAAACCTTCAATGACTTGGCTCAAAATCGATTGCAATGGAACAGGTGCATCCACTCTCTCTGTACTCTCAAATTCTAATCTTCTGAATTCTTCATGTCCCTTTATTTTTTCTCTTTCCAAATTTATTTCACTGGATTATATTCCTTGAATAACATCTCCAAACTTTGATCTTTCCGATTACTGCCTATACTCTTACTACCTCTACTACTACGGGATTCGAATCGACAAATGCACCGCTGTGCTAATGTGGTATGGCAACTCGAACTGACGTACGTACGTACGAAGTCTTAGGTTGTTACTGACTGACTGACATAGTTAAGAATCATATTTGTATTCAACTTAATCTACCTTGTACAGTTGGAAAATAGATAGTTAAGGAGAGATTCAAGCAGGTCATTTGAACTACATGTTAACAAATTAGTTTACACAATAATAACAAACATGTTAAATGAAACTACTATTCCTTAATAAGCAAAGATGATGGTTAGCAGTGAGATACAGGATGCGCGTTTCGTCTTATTTGGGACTCATCAGCTAGATGTACCTTCATCTCAGAATGAATGTTTACTCCAGCACTCGAACCCAGTACCGTTCGCTTCAAACGCCATCAAGTTATCCACTCAAGTACTGAGTCCTGTTAGCCATCTGCTTGTGCAATGGGATGAAGTTTAATTCACTTGATATTGTTTGCTTGTAGGACAAAGCGCACATCCTGGATTCCACTGCTAGCCATTATCTATCTTTGCTTATAAAGCTTATGACTTAAGTCAATATCGAGATAGTTCCAACAGGATGCACAAATATTAATCGTTTGGAGATGCTGTTTTTAAATTTAAAGGAAAAAACCTTACTGATTTGTAATTTCTATTTGATTTACATGTTGAATAATAAAACAAACTCTCATGGTGAGACTATAATTTGTGGACGACTTTTGAGCGACACCAAAGTGACCTTGAGAGCGTCTACCTGCTTAATAGGGGTAAATGTAGATTATAAACCAGTTTGAGGAATAAACATAATGATTTACAGTTGATGGTTAAGGGTTAAGATTTAGATTTATGGTTTTCATCACAAACTGACATCAGATAAAGTGCCAAGACGCTTTTTGGATGAATGGGTGAGTGAATTTCACGCCAAAATCTAAGACCTGTTATCTTAAATCTGATTGATTCGTCCATAAATTATAGTCTTACTACTATCATGTTCGAAATCATTCACAGTTATGGATTGATTTACTATCATTATGTAATATGATAGAAATCAAATAACAGCAAATCAATTTATATAGATAAATCAATTCATTTCATGAAGAGCTAATTGGAAGCGAATTACTTAACTTGACCATTATGTAATCTGGATCCGAATCTGTAAATATGGGCTTTTTCTTTATCTTTAATGAACATAAAAAGGAATAGAATATGGATTTATGATATTCTTTTATTAACTTACTTAACAGGCAATCTTATTCGAACAGTAACAATTCGTCTATTTGTTAGGTCCCAATGAACATAATGAATGGTAACTTTGGGATCCGTTTATTGACCAATACTAAACGTATACTTTTATCGTGTAATTGTTAAATAACTGAACTATTGAAATTCGTGTTCCTCAGATCATAAACTTTGTTTTGACCTATGAACCATTATTATATGATTTACCATTCTTGAATTATGCCCTATCTATTAGACACTGCCGCCCACATTCACAGCCACATTTGGCCAAATCTTGTACAAATGTTGTTTCCTATTTTATGGTGTGATGTGGTCTGCTTGATTGGTATAAAAACCCCGTATATTTGAAATAAATGATTTATATTGCAGAGGCTGAGATTGGTGTTCTGGACTCAACTGTCTGGGCTAGACAGGAAGCGAGACCAATCAGGACTCTACACTGCTCATACGGGTTTACGCGTCCTTGGTCCAATCGATAATTCGCTGCTTCTGATTGGCGGCTTTGGGCCATAACACTATTTGTTTGTACCATTATGATCACTATCATATCTGTATAAATGTGTACGCTTGATCACATGTGACATCCTACGTACATATCTTTCTCTAGCTTAAATGTTGATCGCTTAAATATCACTCGACGGATCATTCTCTTTCCCATGTATATATGTACTCGAATCCTATGATTAGCTTTTGCTTTGCCTTGCTATGCCCTTATGCGATTTGACTATAAATTTGCCACTATATTTGCTCACATATATACACATTCGCCTTTCTGCCTTAAGTTTGCTTGATGCGTTGATAGCTTTGTTTCTCCGTGCTATTCTCTCACAAACTGTAGTCTCCGCTTCTTATTAACTTCCAATATCAAACACCTTTGAAAGTTATATAATAACAGTTACAAAGATGATTGACTAATGAAGCAAAGTCACTACAATATATCCAAATATTCTGTATCTATTGAATTTAAGCTGTTCTGAAGTTTCCACATTTTAAAATGAACTAGAGTAGTCCAATCAGTAGTATATGATGATTAGCTAGTGTGATATTCTATTTGGTAATTAGTATTTCACCTTACATCTCTATTCATCTACATTTTAGCAAATTCTTCAACTTGTATTTCTACAAATCAAAGAAAACAATTGCAACTTAATGGGAAAACAGGATCTGAAAGAAAATTCAAAATTGGTGAAATACTAAACTCAAGTAAACAATTTCGATCTTATCCAGTTATTACACAATTACCTGTTGGTTCATCAAATTTAACATCTTCACAATCATCTTCATTATCACCATCGGTTTATCCGATTGCTGGAATTGTTGCTAAATCAGTGAATCCACGTAATCCAACTCAGCCTCCATTACCTTCAATACAAAATAGAAAAACATTCAAAGTAATAATTGATCGTAGAATATTTTTTGGGTTTAAATTACGAAATGATCTTAGCTAGACCAACATTAAAAACGTGGAAGCATTGGACGGTTGTTTCGTTTTACTCTGGGATACGTTAGCAATACTCATTCACTATCCTAGATTTGGGAATCTAACTTAATGCCTTCGATCTTGCGAGATGATGCAACTTCAAGATCACTTAACCAGAAGTAATTAAAGTTAAACATTACCACTATTAGATGCTACCCCAGAAATCTGGAGGTTAAATATTCTTTTGGAAGGCCGAGGGTCCTGAGTTCGACCTCTGTGTGCAGAATTGTGGATGCGCGCTGTTGATGGGTTCCATACTAGAACAAAACGGCCTTCCAGTACTTCCATGTTTTCAATGGTGGTCTAACTAATATCAGTTCTTAATTTAAATAATTATAATTTTTAGAATGGGTTTTGTGGAGATTTAGAAATTTCACAGATTGAAATCATGAGTCAGTTGAAGCTAGACCACCATTGAAAGCCTGGAAGCACTGGACGGCCGTTTCGTTCTAGTATGGGACTTCTCAGCAGTGCGCATCCACGACCCCACACCACGCGGGGCTCGAGCCCAGGACCTACTGGCTTCGCGCGCGAGCACTTAACCACTAGACCACCGAAGTCCTAGTGAGAAGCCGTTACCAGTAGAGTTCAACCAGGTCTGTTGTGAGATAGGAACTCACTGAAGACAATAGTGTTCGATGGCGCAACTTCGTGGATTGGTTGAAGTTAGACACTAACATCGTTGGATGCCGGCTCAGTAGTCTAGTGGTTAAGTGCTCGCGCGCGAAGCCAGTAGGTCCTGGGTTCGAGCCCCGCGCAGTGTGGGGTCGTGGATGCGCACTGCTGAGGAGTCCCATACTAGAACGGAACGGCCGTCCAGTGCTTCCAGGCTTTCAATGGAGGTCTAGCGGCGAGACTCTAATTTAGGGACGAGCCAATCAGAAGCGTTTGAGCAATTTCAATTATTAGTCAATCAGAAGACAGCATAAAGTAAAAATATATTAAAAGAAAGTAATAAAATACAGTGGATATTCTTTTTTGATATGATTTAAAAACTCGTATGTAAGCATCATAACCCTAATCTTAACCCTAACCCTCAACTAACACTAAACCTAACCTTAATCCCAACCCTTAACCCTCAACTAACCCTAACTCTAAACCCTAACCCTAACCCTAACCCTAAACCCTAAACTTAAACCCTCACCTAACCCTAACCCTAAACCTTAACCCTCAACTAACCCTAAACTTTAACCCTAACCTTAACCCTAAACCCTCACTTAACTCTAACCCTCACCTAACCCCAACCCTAACTAACCCTAAACCCTAACCTTAACCCTAAACCCTCAACTAACCCTAATCCTTAACCTTAACCCTAAAATCCCACCTAACCCTAAACCCTAACCTTAAACCCTCACCTAACCCTAACCTTACCCGTAAACCTAACTCTAACCCAATAGACGAGTTTCTATTCCATATGCATTGTGAATTCAGAACCTCTGAACCTTAATCAAACCTTAACAAGTTTTTAAATCATGTAAAAGAAGAATATCCATTGTAATTCATTACTTTCTTAGAATATATTTTCACTTTATACTAACTTTCCTCTGATTGGCTAATAATTGTCAAGGTCACTTAAGATTCGTTCAAAGGTCGTCCTTAAATTAGAGTCTCGCCGTAATTTTTAAATGTCATAGTTTACGTCATTAGCTAACTTTAATTAGACTGTTTTGTCCGAGTATGGAACATACGTTATGTTGATCAATCAAGTTACAGTATAATCACTAGCCTAAGTGATTTAACACCGTGTGAACTATGTTCAGATGTTAAGTGACTGGAGTTGATCAGTGAAAAAACCTAGACTTATAGAAAGTAATTCGTGATTCAAGAAGCTCAAACTGTAAAGCTAAGTGGGGTGGAGAGTATCAATTCCCTCAATTATATAAGTTTATCTTGTCAATAAATACCAATGAGTATGAAATCTGAATTGAGCAAGGTTACTTGTGAACTGCCATTAAGTGCCCAATGCAATAATAAACCAGAAAAGTGTTTCACCTTTCGTTGTAAAATTGTAAAATTATCTATATCTTTAAGTTAAATAGTAGGAAAGTGAAGATGAAAGGCTATTAGTAAATAAGTCTAAGCACATCATTGTTTTACCAAATGATTTTAAAGGGGGAATTAGCGTTAGTGATTAAGATAAAGTAAACTGATAAAGTAAACAGGATAAAGAACCCATGAGAAACAAACAAATCAATATGTCAGAAGGGTTTTGTGAATATTGTAGTAATTTCAATGGTTGAGATCACGAGTCAGTTGAAGCTAGACTGATCGTTCCTGGGTTCGAATCCTGCGAGGCGTGGTCGTGGATGCGCACTGTTGAGTAGTCTCACAATAGGACGAAACAGCCGTACAGTGCTTCCAGGTTTTCCATGGTGGTCTAGCTTCAATTCACTCATGATCTCAACCATTGAAAAAATCAATATGTTTTGCTTAAAAATCGAAGTAATAATGCTCGTTAACAAAATTACCTTAGCTAGATATTTTGTGTCAAATTGAGAATAAATTTGACAGAAGTATTTTTGCAACAAGAATATCATAATATGATTTCTGTCATATGATTTATGCCTTAATTAGCCAACTGTCGAAGAGTGGATAGTACCGGACAGCTGTTTAATCCTATTATAGAGCTTCTGATTGACAGTACACAATCATGAACCTATCGTGGAGGGTAGAACTCAGAACATTCAAATCCTACAGAAAAAACCTAATCTTTATATTATTGGTCTAGAATTCAATGTTTAACATTTTTCATTTCAACTAATTAATTGTATTTCATGACCTTCGAATCCCATTAGTGTTTAGATGCCTTACATTTACAAATGAACAAATATGTTGTATCAGAAGGGTTTTGTAGAGATTGTAGTAGTTTCAAAAGTTGAGATCATGAGTCAATTGAAGCTAGACCACCATGGAAAACCTGAAAGCACTGGACTGCCGTTTCGTCCTATTGTGGGACTCCTCAGCAGTGCTCATCTACGCCCCCGACTCGCAGAATTCGAGCTAAGGACCTGTCACTCTCGCGCCAGGCGCTTAACCAACTAGACCACCGGTCCTAAACAACAGTGTGAAGATATAAGTAAAACAGCACCAAATGAATTTAAACTTCATCCCGTTGCACAAGCAGATGGCTATCAGGACTCAGTAGCTAAGTGGATAACGCGATGTTGTAGACATTTAAGATTTGTCAACCATTAGCGATTATCATTATCAACAGATTCTTTAAAAGGAAATGATCTTAGAGTTTTGGGTTTGATAATGAAAATGTACTAATTGTAAGGACATTACACTTTAATTGCCATGGATAATTATATTCAAAGGGATGTCGTTTTTTTATTTCAGAAATTTCATCTACTTATTAGTAGTATAATAAAATTCATTGAATTTTCAGGAATGATACAATCGTCGGATTATCTTTCTGGAGCTTATTATTATTATTATTATCATATACACAATTATTAAACACCAGATTTGTTTATATATATTTCTTACAAGAGATGATTGAAACCTATTTTGATAGAATGAAAACTAAAGATTTTAATTGTTGATTACATAATTGTATTGTACTATTCTGACAAACGGAAAAGAAATACAGCTCAATACTCAAATACATTTTGTTTTTGTGTTTTTTTACGCTCTTCTAAGATACAGTTTTAGACTTCTAAAATTCATATTATCTCTACCACCATTACTACCACTACTACTACTGCTATACACTTTCTTGAAATAGTATGGTACCCTTTTCGAAATTAGACAGAAAATGTGTTAAAGTTATTGGATTTAAATATATAACGTGTTAAATTCACTTGGTATTGTCTTAGTTGTATCTTCCCATTGTTATTTAGGACTGCAATTGATTGTTCTGATATTGGCATATGTGCATTCTGCGCGGATTGCCTTGATATTGCCTTAAGTCACAATCTTTTGAAGCAAAGATTGACAAATGCCAGCAATGAAACCCAGGACTCGTATGTGCTGACAAGAGACTGATCAATTGCAGTCTTAAATAACAATGTGAAGATATAAGTAAAACAACACCAAATGAATTTAAACTTCATCCCGTTGCACAAACAGGTGACTATCAGGACTCAGTAGCTAAGCGGATAACGCGATAGCGTTCGAAGCGAACAATATTGTGTTCGATTCCCGGAGTGACACATTAACACTGGGTTGCAGGTACATTCAGCTGACGAATTGTGCAAGATAACACTGACATCTCAACGGCTTATAAACAACAAATACAAACTAATAAAAGGCATTGAGAAACTGAGAGACACAAACATGCTCACAAGCCACCTCAAATAGTCAAACAGTAAGTAAGAAATTCTAAACAAAGCATCGTATTCCAGGATGTTGATTATGCGCTTACAAAAGATCTCACAGGACATGTCATTGTTCAGTTCTAAAGAACACCTTTATGTATACCTATCATTCGTATACATTATAATACCATGTAACAATTAAATCTTACCACTCACTCGGGTCTTCTCAACTGACTAATGTTTTTGGATTAATGATAAGAAGTGTATGTTTCAACTGAACAAGGACGCAGAACATAACACCTATCAATGATTGCTGGATGTTTTTTAGGTGGCAAAAATAAATTTAAATAGTTATATATGTGTATTCTCAAGTGTAAACTATGAGAATTCGGTACTTCAGTTGTATATTTCATTGAAAATTTGATTTTGTTTTGTCAATACCAAATCACAAATCAAGGGAACAATTTTAAAAATAGGCAATAAATCTATTTAAAATTCATTTGGTATTGTTTGTTTAAATCTTCCCATTGATATTTAGGACTGCAAAATGGACCAATCTCTTGTTGGTATATGTACAATCTGTATGGACTGCTTCAATATTGTCTTAAGTCACAAGCTTTATGAATAAATATGGATGGTGGCTAGCAGTGGA